CAATCCCGGTAGGGTTCCCTACGGACCCGGTCCGTCCACCATCTCCCAGGATATCTAGTCAGGCTGACCCCATCATACAATTATCAGTCTATACAATGTTTCATTTCCCTTTTTCCTCAATAAGCATCATCAATTCACATTTAAACAAGCAAATCGTAATTCATGCCGAACAGACAACATACAGTATCAGTTCTTCAGTCATTCAACCCATAATTAATAAAACAGTAATATATGCATTCGAAACTATAAAATGAACACATCAAACCCCATAATGCATTTAAAGCTGTAAAACAGTGTAAAACAGGCCAAATAACAGTAAATCATCAATCACACTAGACTCGGGCTCCATTAGCAACCTTAAGCAATTTCACACATGCGTTAATTCAAGAAATACCGTTTTATCATTTTGAACTTTAATACCGTGATAGGAAATAGGGTGAGGGGTCCTTACTTGTTTTCGGGATCCGAATACGATTCACAGTGCGCCTGCAGGCCGTCCCTAATTTTCCCTGAATTTTTTCCGGGGAACTGAAACACACTAACAGTACCTGCACGTGTTCAAAAAAAAATCTAAATTAGGCCCAGGGCTCCTTTCGGACCAAATCGCAACTCCGGCACGGCGGCTCCGCCGTGCTCCGGCGACGGCACCGCCGCTGGCGGCGGTGAGTCACCTCGGGTTGGCTGTTTTCGGCCGTTTTCGGCCGAATTCGGCCACACTCGCATTGGTCCTTGTCAGAAAACAACCCTAGGGCCCCCGGGGGGGCCAAAAATCACGGAAAAGCGGAGCTTACCGGCGGCGGTGCTCTCGGGTACGGCGGCTCTCCGGCGAGGTTCGTGTTTTGGTGATTCGGCTTCGGTCAACCTGTAGAGAAAAGAATGGTGATCACGGTGATATAAAAATTGCATCGAACGGAGGCCGGGAAGGACCTCGTCGGAGGCAAAAACCGAGAGGGGCGCGGCGGCGCCGCTGGGTTTCGGCCGCGTATTCCGGTCGTTTGGCCGGGATTTCGGCCTCAATTTGGCCATAGGAGGAATCAGCGGAGAAAAACGAGTCGGGGGTATGAAATTTACCTCGATCGGCAGTCGGAAATTTCCCCGGTGCGGCGGCGGGTGGCGGCGGTCGGCCTCTGGTTCGTCTTCTCCGGCGAGCGGCGGGCGGCTAGGGTTTGTGGTCTAGTGTGGGGGTTCTATTTATAACCCCTTGCCTTTTGATCACAGCCGTTCATTTCGTTTTAATCTGGGCCGTTCGTTTTTGATTGAATCTGGGCCGTCCGATCGCGCGATTGATCTGGGCCGTCGGATCGCACCCACGCGGATCGCCAACGTGGCTCCCTTCGGAGTGACGCGATTTTGCCACGTGGCAGGCCCTGGTTGGCCGGGACTGCTGACGTGGCTGCTGACGTGGGCCCCCCCCCCCTTTTTTTTTTTTTTTTTTTTTTTTTTTTTTTTTCCTCCTCCTTTCCGGGTGCTACAACTAAAAACTTCAGGAATATTTAATTGAGAGAAAAAAATCAAAATTAAATCTTTTATATGAATTGTTCTTTATAATTTGAAAGTCAAGTAGAAAAAAGACAAGGAAGCGAAACTCAAGTCACTATTACGGTGGCGAAAATGTAAAAACGATACTTTTTAAAAGTCAAGTCAATATAAATTTTGAATTAATAGTAATACTTATTTTTTAAAACATTCAAATGTAATTTAATTATTTTAATTCTTTTTTGTTTAAAAATAAAGAGAAACTAAACATTTAAAATAAATAAAAAATATTTGAAAATTAAATTATCACAAAAAAATGTTAAAACTAAATTATAATAAATGTCAAATTTTAAAAAATAATTTGATAATTTACCTTTTCCCTTTCATGATTTATCTAGAAAGAAAAACATTTAAGCATTTAAACATTGTTTCGTTGTAAAAGCTTATATCATTCATGATTTGTGTTGAAGCTCAGCTGCAATCCATCAGAAGAAAATTGTTAAAAGCAGACA